AATGGGAGGAAGCCGTGGAACTTCAATGGGATGCGTCCCTCGAGGAAAACGATGAGGCCTAGGAGAAGGCTCCTTCCTAGGTCTACACAAATGTGACCTGCGAGGACTAGACTTACTAGAACTCCTGGGAGGTACCCAGTTCTTAGTCGACATGACCCTGAGTATGAATGGACTCGGGGTGCAAACTAGCAGACACAGGAGCAAATGGCTACCTCGTCATTAACAAGCCTTTTGCAATACGACTGTCGAAAGTGCTTCAGAGTCCCATATGGAAACTACCCTACTCTGTACCCATACGTGGATTTCAGCACAAAATCCAAGGCCATGTATCGGAGTATATTTGGTTACACTTAACAGTCGAAGGACACCGGATATATAACTGCCCCTTTGTACTCCTGGACCTCGGAGCACAAGATGTGATAATTGGGAAGAAGCTTTTCAGCCACTTCCGAATACTACTCAACTCTGCAAAGAACCGGTTAGTATGGCCAAAGGAGTACCCGCTGACTCCTAGCTGGAGCAAGGAGATCACCTTGCCCTACTACATGCGAGAAACGTCTATTCGACATGCCGCATACCAGCTGGATGCGAATCGCAGGGATGCTGCAATCCACCATGAAGACAGATGCCGCGCAGGCAGACGCTCGATGAATATGAAAGTGATAACTTCAGGCTATGAAGAGATCACCGATATGCCACCGAGTCCTACCCGAAACCAAGAAGTTTCTCCCCCACTACTAGTGAAACTGGTACCTAGTTTCACGCCCATATGGATATGCAAAATCAGTGCCAATGCCTTCCATCACGAGATGATGCAAAGCGACTCCGAGTTCTTTCAGACTAGCATCTACGAAATTGACCAGATCATCCATGAAAAGGAGTTGGTAGAGGACGAAGAAATGCTCTGCCTCATCCAGCAGAAGCTTCCGCATATGCACCAGAAGTACACCCATGTCTTTTTGAAGTTGGAATCAGATCGAATCCCCCCACACCGCATATACGACCACAAGATACAGCTCGAAGCCCCTTTACTAAACGCTTTCTCCCCATTATATCGACAGGGCACCGAAGAGCTTAAGGCTACCAAGCAATACCTGTTAGAGAACATAGAGAAAGGCTTCATCGTCAACAGCAACAGCCCATTCGTGTCCCCTATCTTATTCATAAAGAAAGCGGATGGCAAATTAAGATTTTGCATCGATTACCGGAAGTTAAATGGTCTCACACAGAACAATCCCTACCCCATCCCACGTATCGACGAACTACTAGGACGGGTGTCGAAAGCAAAAATCTTCACGAAGCTAGATATTAGACAAGCCTTCCATCGCATACGGATGCACCCTGACTCGGAAGAGTACATGACCTTTCTGTCTTCTGATATCGCGGAGAGCCTTGGTGCCTATATGTTTATTAGAGAGTTCTGGTAATCCTCTGGTAATCCTCTGGTAATCCTCTTACTAGACTTTGTGCAGCGCGTGGCCTTCTGAGCATGATTGTTGCTAGCTTGAGATGAGCAAACTGGAGCTTTTCTTGCTGTGCCCACAGCCTTTTCCTGTCCCTTTCCGCCAAGCCCAGAGCCAGCCCGTAATCCAAGTGGCATCCTTGGTGCTATGCCGCCAGTTGATCTCCTAGCAGTTTGCTTGGTACGAGTCATTTGCTAATATCAAGGTGAGTTAGTAACAGTGTTCGGCGGATACATATCCGGGTAGTATCCGTGAAGCTCACGGGTAGGGTATATACCCGGCGACGATCTGACGGGTAGGGTAGGGTATATATCCGGATACATGAGGCTGAATATTGTATATAAAAATAGAATAGCGTATATAAAAAGAATGAAGCTTTTGATAATAGTAGTAAACCCCTTTCCGCGAGCCCCCTTTCCGTGAGAGACCCCCCTTTCTGCGAGTCCCTATTCAGGTGCTTCATCGTCAGCATCATCGCCGTCGCTATCAGCCTCCCGTATTTTACCCCAATTCCGTAAGCAAAGTAAATATCTAATAGTTGGCGGTGATAACCTATTCCGCTTCTTTGTAATAATATCACTACCATTACTAAATACTCGTTCCGATGCTGCAGATGTTGCTGGAATAGCTAGATGATCACGAGCAATACGGGCAATAACTGGATATTGGTATTGCTTTGCGCACCAATATTTGAGAATATCAGTATGCTCACCGGGCCGTGGTTCAAGCATCCAGCGCCTCCATTCTGGCTCTTGAAAAGCCAAGCCTTCTGACGCAAATAGATCTTCGTCAGAATCAGGTTCTTGATCTATTGTAGCAGTAGCACCTATTGCTTCTGCAAGAGCTGTTTCGTGAGTAATTCGCTCCGTATCAAGGTGATACTCTCGCTTTTGGTACGTTCTACAAACGTCTTCGAACTGCGCTCTTGCTCGTAATCTTCGTGTATCGTCTATAGCATTTGGATATATCTTCTTAAATACTGTATGATTCATTCGTGGGTCGCAAATTGTAGCAACAGCTGAGTGCTTACATTGCCGATTCGTTGTAAGAGTATAATACTCATTAAGCTTTTGAAGCGCAGCTCACAAAGCTACTCCGATCGTAGAGCTTCTACCAAGCTCTTCTTGTAGTAATGTGACCTTATTTATCATCTTTAAGTAAAGAGGAATTGTAAAGTTGAGCGTTGGATATGAATCGCTTTGTAGCCGTCTTGACGGCTTTAAGAATACTAAGAATAATCGTTCAAGAGCTTCGATAATAGCCCAATCGTTGCTTGTTAACGCAATATCCTTCATACTGATATCAAGCTTCTGCGTAGAGCATACTGCAGTAATTGGTATTCGAAGCTTTATAGCTGTTTCAAGCATATAGTACGTTGAATTCCAGCGTATAGGCATATCAAGTGATAGCTGGCGTGGCTTCTGGCCTGCAGCTTGTATCTGCTTCTGTAAAGCATCCTTCCATGCTCTTCGGTTTCGAAAGACATAAATATGCCTTCGGAGCTTCTCAAGCGTAGCTGATACTTCAGTAGAAGAGTTATCAATACGCTGCGGAATCCGGGCAAGCCCTTGCTGACACCAGTACGCTTCTGTTTCTGTATCCGGGCTAGCTTTCAAGCTCTTTAGAGTAGCTTGAACTGCAAGATTGATAATATGAGCAATACACCGAACGTCCCCTTCCTTTACAGTAAACGTCCATGGCTGTTGAATAGTCGTCTGCTGCTTACTGGCTATTTTCTCATATTCTGAAAGCATCACAGTATTCGCTGAGGCATTATCCGCGTACAAGTAAATATAGCACCTGTAATTTCGAAGCTATCTGTTACTGCAGCTAACTCTTGAGCGAGATATTCGCCGCTATGAATTGGCTCTTGAAGGTGGATTACATCAAGTAATACGCACCGGTGCTGCCACTTCTCATTAATCCAATGGCCTGTGACAGCAGCGTACTCTGTATAGTTCCGTGCAGTCCATGCATCTGTTGTAATAGATATCCGGCCGCCATAGGTAATATGAGCCTGGAGTTCTAATTGTAGCAATCCTCGGTGATATGAGAATTGCCGCTGTAGCTCTCGGTGTAGTGTTCGCGACGATATCGATAGAGTACTTGGGCTTAAGAACTGTACTAATTGATGGAACGAATAGCTCTCAATAAGTCGTAAGGAGAGGTTATTTGATACAACGAATGAGAGTAATAACTCTCGGTATTTCGCTCTACTATTTGATGCTTGAGCTTGAGCGTGCTGGACTTGCGGGTTCCGCGGCCGTGGCTCAAAAAATGACGATGCACTACTTGATGGGCTTGACGGCGTAATTGTATGACCTTTCATTGTATATGCTACTGTTGGATGCTTCTGCGTATATGTGCTTCCAAAGATTACCGGTTGAAGTCTGACTTAATAGCTGTGGAGTAGGTGAATATCCGCAGCCTGGTTGTAAGCAAGTTACTTTGACTGTAGGTGGGTTACTATCAAGTATCAATCGCGAATATAATAGCTTCGTAAATAGTACCGACGACGTTGGTGGCAGCATTCGTCCTGGAGGCTGACGCCGGAGCGGTGTAGGATTAATATCCTGTTGAATATGAATAGGGGCGGCAGCGTTGGCAGACTTGGCTCATTATGAGTATCATAGCTATTATAGCCCTCAGGCTCCGTTGGTATATCTGATAACGACGAGTCGCTCATTCTGAGGATAATTATCACTTTATACAGCATCAATATAGATCTCACGACGTTGGAAAAAAGAGGTCTTGGCTGCGCTTGGCTATTCTTGGCATGTATCCGGATATATACTCGAGAGTATCCGGATACGCCGGATACTCCTAAAATATCGCCGGGTAGGTATATACTCGAGGATATACCCGGATACCACGGGTATATTGGTATCCGTGCCGAACACTGGTTAGTAAAGTAAAACAAGATAAGAAGTAGATCAAAAGATATGTGTACTTACAGTGAGTTTGTAGAAAGAATATTGCAGAAGAAGAGTATAGTAAAGAGGTAGAGGTTGAAAGGTATGTGTTTTATATGAAGGTGCGCATTGTGGTGTTGTTTTTGGAACAGTAATTCTTTGTAGGTGAATATTCCTTCACAAATTTTTTGTTTGCAACTTTAAAATAACCACGACCTTAGAACCACCTTCCTTGGTTACTCTCCGATCTACACATTCTTCTTCCCTTTTGAGCCTTTACCTCTTCACTAGGACTTCAACTAAGTTTATTATCTTGATTCTATAGCCAGAACTTCTGGAGATCTCTGCTAATCACGTGTTTAGTTAGTATGGCGAAACTCAAGGCACATGAAGAACTCTCCACTAATGCGAATACTATCAAAGCTAGCAACTGCGTCTCCAACCTTACTGAAGATGAGAAGGCTGTTCACTTAGTACTCAAGGCTGACCATGCTGATCTGAGCTACTACTTAAAGAAGTTATATAAGTCTGCAAAGTGTAAGGATGCCTCCTTACCTAGATACTCGAAGAACCCGCCTCAGAGCTGTTACGGTCACCACAAGCATGAAATCCGACTCGGTGTGGTTTCGGACCAGTAGAGGAGGACATAGCGAGTTACACTATAGTGGGGGACAGTAAGGGTGTAGGGTTCAGGGTCGATGCGGACCTGTTGCGGTGGAAGGTTCAGGGCTAGGGTTGGGATAACCGAGTCGGGCCCGTTTCGGGTACTTAAGGAAACAAACTTAACGGGGTTCCCCCTTCATCTTTTTTGTATCCTTCGTAGTAGACCTATAGGATAGCATCCTTTTAGCCTCCAACTCGCACTCTCATATGCTATTACTGTGAGCTGGGTGCCCTGTGTCATTACACAAAGTATATCGCTGCCTCTACTGAAGACAAGACACGTCTACAGAATGAATTGAAGGTTGAGCGTATTTGTGTTCGGTAAGTTCCTTCTGGTAATCTCTGGTAGCCTCAATCTAACTATAAACAGGACTGAGAAGGGTACCCATGCATCTTGCATTGCGAATCAGAAAGTCAAGAATATTAGCGCCTCTTCTTCTCCACAAGCCCCACCATCTACTCCGCCCAAACAACTTCTGTCTGAGCTTGCTGCATTTGAGGGTATCTCAAGTATTCCAATCGATGACAATCATAACAGCGAATGAGAGGATACTGAGGTGGAGACGATTTGGAGTTGGAGCTTATGTTACAGCGCGAATATTTTAAATGACGAGGCTGTTCTACCAGATGAGCTTTCCGATGAAGAGATCACTAGCACCCAGGCTCTCTTAACTCAAGCACACATTGATGTATGCTACCTCATAATCTGGTAATCTTCTGGTGATACTATAGTTGATAGGCCATGAAGAGTCAATTTCCGCAAGTGCAACATTTCTGGGATAGCTTATCCACTCATATACGAGAAAGGCTGGAAAGCTGAGAAAGAAGCCTGAGCGTCTCTTTGAGTATATGCCGTGGATTGATGTAGAGGAAGGTACGTCTCTGATATCCTAGCATCTTCTGGCAATACTAATTGTTTTTATAGCACTTTCACGAGGTTATCCCACCACATAAATATTTCTGTTTGTACGAGCAGGCAGTTTGGAAAGTGGGCCTAATTACCAGGACCTGTGCAGTGGTATCCAAAGTCTTACAATCTTGTCGACAATGGATGGTTGCAAATATCCACTCTAGTTCTAGCTTCAAAGAGGCGTTCTTACTTGTCTACTCTAAGAGTTTGATAAGGAAAGTGGCTAAGGTATCAGCTGCACAGGATATGTTGTTCCTGGAGCTAGAGTAGAGGAGAACTTGAGTTGCTAAAGTTATAGCGCTGGAGTACCTTTCGCGTTGGAAAACCAGGTATTTAAGTACTTCATCGTAGCCAGACTCTGGTAACCTTCTGATAATCGAGCAATTTGCCAAATGCCATCTCAATACTCAGAGTTGTTTGATTCTGACAGTATTCTCAGATCTTTTCCGTCTTCTCAACGACTATCCTCATTAAATCAAGTCTGTAAGACACAGGCACCCAGCTCACAGTATAGCATATAGAGTGCGAGTCAGAGGCTAAACGGATGTATCCTATAGGTCTACTATGAAGGATACAAAAAGATGAGAGAGGAACCCCGTGGTCAATCTCCTTAAGTACCCGAAACGGGTCCGACTCAGCTAACCTGCCTTAACTCTTATCATGTGACCATAACCTGCCCGACTCAGATCCTTTCCATCACTGAGGGACAGGCATCCTTACAAAGTCCCTGCAGGCCTTGAATATATGGCAAGTTAAACCAATTCGTCAAATGGACTAAGGATACACACGATATATTCATTGAGTGGTGGAAGCTATCACGATGGTATGAACAACACTCAGATCATACTACAAAACTCCTGATGAAGATTGCATGGGATTCAACCAACTGGATTCTCAATACTGGAGAAGTTATCACCAAGGAGCAGACTGGCTTTCTGGAGAACATGTGTTATTTGTACTTATTGTTCGAAGGCCCTTACGCATCCTGCAATCAAGTCTGCTGGCCCAAAGTCTATGGCAACACATCTTGCATCAGACATTTGCAAAAGAAGTCACAGATGGGAAGGATAGTCTCTATCAAATGCGAATCAATCAAATGCAACCTCAACAAGTAAGGATTACCAGATTATTACCAGAATTATGTAGGTTAATACCTATAATAAGATCATATTCTCACACAAGAGACATTTTATGAACAAGTCTATACACAGTTATCTTGACTCATAGCTCGTTCCGCTCAGTCGAGGATCCTCATCAAGACCCTATAAATACTTAGTATAGTAGGTCTGGCCGCCTCATCAAGCAAGGTGGAGGATGTTCTTAAGCATATATAATAGATAATAGCGTTCTAATAATCTTCTGATAATCATGGTACTTAGATAGAGGAATATACATGATTCGTTCTCACAGCTTACTAGAGATGGCGAGAGTGATGCTAATAGATGTAATACTTAACTTAACCATAAAACAGTATTAATCGTATGAGGGACTGTTCACATGATGCATAAATCTTACACTGATAGCCGATACTCACGGGTTTTTACAGAGTAACTGAGTATTGACCTCACTCACCGAGTCGAGTAAAAGGTTCAGCTATCACCAGCTGAGTAACCACTGAGCGAGTGAGCCGAGTATTGACGAGTAGTGCGCAGCCTACCCACAGGTAAGAATGAGCACTTCGAGATCTTGCGATAAATCCCAGAATCGGAAACCCACCAGGGACGCCAACAGTCCAGGGACTAGAACCAGAAACTAAATGTTGTGTTGGATGCTGCAGAAATGGGGAACGAGAAACAAGAAGCGGTCGTGAAAACCGAAAAACGTGGTGGTAAAGCAGCCGGGCCGCTAACATAGAACGGAATACGGTTATTGAATAACAAGATCCGGCACAGTGATTTAGTGGTATTAACCATCGATGCCAGCTCGTCTTAAGGTCCCGAATGCTGGTTTACCATTTCCTGATTCCTCCTTCTTGATCTTGGAAAGCAGCGACATTTAGAGCTCAGTTGCCTAGAAAAGTTGGATGTCGATACGAGGACGCGTAACTCAAGGTAATAGTGGTTCGGAGCATCTGTTGGTTTAGGAGACTCTGGAACTACGTTTGCCTTCTCTGTTTGAATGGAGCCTACATGCTCAACAGCATTCGGCTTCTCTGTTTTGAAAGGAAGCCTGGTGCTGCCAACACATCAGCCCCATCGGCTCATGTATTTAAACCAGCTTATATCACCAACTGAGCTTCTCTCAGTACGGGTAATATATTTACTACTCAGGAAACTACTGCATCTAGCTCCAAAGTTGCAGGTGCACAGCGGCGCCCTCAACCAGTAACAATCTAATCAGGCAAGAAAATTATTGCATTATCTACTAGTCTATATAACTAATCGCCAAGTCCTCATTTCATGAAATAACCCAGACTGTAGGCGGCTGGATCTGAATGAATACTGCAATATATATATACCATATTCTCTATACGCTGCCTGTATCCAAGTGACACGCACATCGGAAGACTGATGAATCCATAACAACTTCGTGTTGGGCTTACTGGTTTAATTCCGTAGCACAGTTCGTCCAAGACCCTTGATTTCTATAGATTCCCAACATTTAAGGCCATAAACATCTCGCGTACTCTGGGTATGTAAGGTTTCCCATAGATCTGGCTCAGCTCATCACTTAATAGCTGGGGCCGCTCAAGTGGTCCTTCCTCTCGGCATACTTATGCCTAAGTAAAGCGATATTCCACGCAAAACTCGAGTGCCCAATGCCTCCAAAGCCGATGCTTTGTCATGACTTGAAATCCACCATGCCTGCTGATCCCAAGACAACATCTTTAGCGTCGCTTTGTCCGTTTCGTCCAGTAAATCAAACTTCGTCGGACTGTGATATTAATGCTGCCGCATCAACTTTAAACTTCGCGACTTCTTCTTGGTCCCAGATGCCAATAGATATGAGATGTGCTCGAGGAATTGCTTGCTCCAATATAGTCTTGACTGCGTCTCATATCGGCTGTATACCCAGTCGCCAACCGGCCAACCCTGCTGCGAGTCATATTCGTGCGAAGGTGAACACCAAGGAAGAAATTAGGAGAATGGGTTTAAGAAGATCGATATCATAGAATATCTCTCAGCAAGCTTTAATAGAGTCTTTGTCGCTAGAATGCTGATGTCAGCGCGGAATTGAGGATCTTCCCAAAACTGTCGCAAAGCCATCGCCGTCGGTGTATATAGGATATGACAAGTACGATCTCTCAAGTTTGATGACCACAGTGTTGTCAAACATATACTGATATGTTCCCAAGCCAGTTATAGAATAGACCCTCCATTTTTCAGTTCCAATTTTCATCAGGTCGAGCGACTCGGGTGCAGTGCTATCGGCTCGTGGAATGTCTTCCCTTTGTATCCTCAACTGTATCGTATAGACGAAGCCCGGGCAGAGAGCATGAGGGACTCGCGAAAGTGCTGCCGATCAAACATATATTCGAATCAGCCCCTATCCTGTGCGTATTGCTGCAGTGTCTGACTCGTTGCGGAGCACGATCTTGGGCTCCACGAGGGAACCTCTGCCAAATGGAGTAGCGAACGCAATTCAAGATCGAGTTGCGGATGTGCCAATGCCTCCCACACTGTCGTTGCAGGTGAACACGATGTTTTCCTTCCATTCTGTATCCGCGCAGATGCTCTTGATTGCCTCGGATTCGATCGGCGCAAAGTCGAAGGCATCGCTAGTAGTCGGATTCGTAGGAAAGAGTGAGGTTCGCTTGAGAATATGTTCCAAGGAGTGCGATCAAGAAATAGTATAGCTGATCAAATGCGAGCCAAATCCAAACTGCAATAAGCAGCCAGGAGACAAGGCGATATGTATTCGACGAACACTCGAGGCAGCTGGATCATGGCTGTTGGATATCTAAAACAAATCGGCAGTAATAAACATCAAGACGTTCGCAAATAACTCAAAGACGATAAAGAAAAGGAATGAGCGTGACTGATACATTCTGTGTTGTTGTGGTGCATCATCGCCCTGTCGCTGTGTTTTTGTGTTTTGTTTGCCGCGAGGATATGCAGCGTGGCGCACGCTTTGCTTTGTGGGGACCACATCGGCTGTGAAGCACGTCGCTTCGCCGCTCCCGTTCCGGTCCTCCCCGCCCACTCTCCCCCTTTCCGCAAATCCGAGGCGAGAGCTAGTTCACAAGCGCCTGTCTTGGTACGGACTACGAAATATATGCGAACAGCCTCAAAGAAATGCTCATTGTAGAGCTGAGGTTCAAGAAAATAATCGATGAGGTACAGTGTCTATCAGATGGACTGGGGATTCACCTTGTATCAATGCATCCCGCTTAGCTCAATCGAGACTTGCGGCTGAAGATAACGACGTACAACTCCTCAACAACTAAATGTCGTGACGTTTTCCACATACACAAACAAGTCCTGTAAGTGGCAGAGACACAAGCGAAAAGGTAAGGTTGTCCAGTCAATGGCGGACATAGGGTAAGACTTATATCCTCTGTGCTACAGGGCAGCTATGGTCAAATGAACGCTGTTGATAAATAATTATAGATATATATTTATCTGCAACTGCATTTCATCGCAGCCAAATATGCGCTTCGCACTTATTATTGGACAACTTATTATCTTCTTACTGGAGCATACATCTCCACTGGACTGCTCATTCCGTCTGAGCATACATTTCCTAGGCGCACGCTCTGTAAATAACTCTTGCGGCCCAAACACAGAGCTTGTATACTTCTCGCTCTCTGGAGACATTTCCTGGCTCTGTACATGATGATTGCTGCTGAAGTAGGATTTGGCTCTGCAGGCTTCCCTTTACGTCGCTTGTATAATAGGTACCTGCGACGAGGACTGCGATCAAACAAGCTGCCGCCGCTGACAAATACTCCCAATCACCGCTTTTGAGAGTTTACCTCCAGACTGGCCGTATTGCCGGAGGGTACAGTGCTGGTGTTCTGAGGTGGGATTATCCAAGATTGCCAAAACCCACTCCATGTGTCCGCCCAGTCCGTTGTAGAAGATATAATTGAGTTGTCCGTAGG